AAAAAAAAAAAAAAAAAAGAAAAAAAGTAGGGGGGGAAAACCCAATCCAACATGAAGTATAACTGCAGCAGTTGCTTAAGAGTTTGGCTTTAGTTAGTTTGAGAATGTCATAATTGAGCATAAACAGCAATAACTTAAGTTGTTTTGGTCTCTTCTGGTATAAAAATTTTAATCAGTCATCTTTTTTAGGTATGCACAAAAATGATGTAACATAAGCCCTAGAGGGTTTCTGCCCTCTGGGAATATTTTAGTGAAGGCTCATACAAGCAATTGCAAATTTCCTGGCTTTACAATCCCAGAACTGGAGACTGAGGCAGGATTGCTGGGGGTTTTAGAGGTCAGTCCTGGGCTACATAGTGAGTTCAAAGCAACCTTGAGTAAAGAGTGAGACCCTGTCTCAAAAACAAAAGCAAAAACACCCCAAATTTACAAGTTGACTTAGAAAGCAAGGCCCGAACATTCTGAGGAAGAAGCAATCAGAGGATGAGCCCATTAAAAGAGAAGTGAAATTTTTAGGTCTAGGTGACTGATACACACATTTACCCTTTCTTCCTAAATTCCCCTTGAGATGTTAGGACTCACCAAAGAGAACAAGTCATCCGTAACATAGATAATAAGGGTGGTGGACAGAATTAGTCCAGTGATTCTGAAGATCGAAAGCAAATGAGCTTCTACTGACAGATAAACTGGAAGTGGATAGAGGGACTTTCTCTTTAAAATATGGAAAGAAGTGGCCCTGTTGGCACAGGGGGCAGCACATCAGTCTCACAAAAACATGTAGAGAAGAAGGTAGAATCAGAGGTGGGAGTCATTCTTTCGAGAATGAGGAGATTCCACTGAGAGCGAGATGAATTTAAAAAATTTCATCCTCTAGAGGTAAATCTGTGAAATTGAAAATCAAGGATAAAGAAAAGAGAGAACATAAAACTTTTCAGAGAGAGAGAGAAAAACAGAATACAGTGCAGGAGCAGGAGTCCCTGATCAGCATCAGTGCGTATCTGAAGTCTAATAGATTAAAGCAAGCCCCCAGGCTCTAGAGACAATGTGAACCTGGCATTCTGTATCAGCCATTACTAAGAAAGTGTGAAAGCAAGATACAGACTGAGGGACAAGGACTCAAAAGCTTATTAAAAGGCCCTACTGTTGTCAGGTACCTCTTTCTAAAAGTGGCTTGCCAAATAAACATTATTGGGTTCTGGGTTGCTTGCCTCTCCTTGTGGAGCTGGATTTCAGGTTCTTCACATATCGAACAAAGAGTTGAATGAAGTGAGCAAAAGGCAGTGACAGTTTATTGCAGAAAGTAAAAGTGAAAGGTGAAGGAGAAACTGACTCTGCAGAGTGAGCTTGGGCCGAGTAAAAGAGGAAAAAGCAAGATGAAAGTACACCCAGGAGAAAGCAGGGCGGCTGTTGTCAGAAAAGCCACAATAGCAGGCTCTTCTTGGTGTCTATGCCCTTTTATGCAGTCCATATCTGGAGGAAACCCGTGAGAACTTCTACACATGGGTCCTGAGGGGTGGTGCTTGGATCCCACGCCTCAAGCTGACGACAGGTCCAGGCCATCCTGTTAAAAACCTGCTGGAGTTCTTGTGAGAAATCCATGTGCGGGACTCTGGGAACTGTTCTGTGCATGTGTCTGGGATCTCCTAATTAACAGGTCATGCCTACCTCCCAGCCACCTTTGTCACGCCCTAATCTCCTATGTCACTACTTCTCGAGAGATCTGATATCTGAATAACATAGAGTTCTCTAAGGCCCACTGTGTGCCTGGCTAATTTGTTTTCTTAAAAAAAAAAAAAAAATCACACTAAAGTACAGTATCATGAAATTCCAGAAGGGCT